AGGGATACTTTGGCACATTCCATGCTTTGATATTGTAAAAATGTCCAGAGGAGGCGAAAAAAATTCACATTTCCTCACCTACTATTCTTAACGCTGAATTATTCAAATACAATAATAATAATGAATAATGAACTTTACCGAAAGTTTCCACCCGACTATCAAATATCATGCTCTAAATTTATTTCATAGAAGCCTTCCGTACAAAAAGCACAGTTTTCTTCTGAAGCTTAAAGGGAGATTCCATGATAAGAACGAAGGTCGAAGAAGGGGAAACTTACCTAGTGGAGAGACAGGCGGACCCCTAAGGGTGCGGACCAACACGCAATTCGCATCGGATATGCCCCGGCGATCTAACATGGCCTTCCCTTTGGCGCAGTTGGCGCGGAACGCCCACCGACTATCTAATCACTCGCCGCAGGTCTATACGCGGCGAGTGATTAGATAGCAGAGAGAGCGTAGTGTTGAAGAGGGCACAGCGATGAGAGTCGCATCAACGGGCAAGGAAGGGGTACCATTTCTCGGGTTCTGGGCCGTTTCTCATGGTTTTTCCTTCTTTCGTGTACCACTCACCATCTCTAGGTTAATTTGAAATGGGTTGCTTTTTCATCGTAGAATCCGCCTTTAAGGGTACTATGGCATATTCTATGCATAATCCTGTAAATGTATCCAGAGGAGGCAATAAAATCTCACATTTCTTCAACTTTCATCACTGAATTATTCACAATTCAATAAAACTCTAACCTCGTGTTTCCACCCGACTAACAAATGTAGTGCTCTAAATATCCTCTATCTTCATAATAGCTTCCATGCAAAGGACAATTACGATTAGTTCCCTTGTGAGGCTTGAGCATAAAAGTTCGCTAATGCGAATCAGAAGAAACGCGTTCCCTTTTCCTCCTTCATTCGTTCCCTCTAGCTCCGAATCAGATATACATATATATACAGGGGGGGGAAAAAAAAGACATTTTGCCTATGTCGGACTTCGGCTCTTTTTTCTTCGCAGAGATTGCTGTCGTTGACGGGAGTTCCTCAGCAGAGTATTCCCTAAGTGTTCCTCTATTAGTGTACGCAGGCTCTCCTTCACTGCCCTCACCGTCTTCAGAATATGACGTCATCTGTCACCGTCGTCAGGCTCAAGGAGGTCTACCGTAAGAGCTTCAGCCTGAAGCTCTTACGCAATTTCGTGAATCGATTTAATGTTGGATAGTTTTCTAGAGGCATTAGCTACCACTGTGCAAATCCCCTCGGAACTAGCTTTCCAGTAAGGGTCGTTATGGTACACGATCCTTCGAAGACCCCATTGAGATCGACCAGTGCACCATGTTTCCAGGGCTAATTCTTCTGATGCCGTCCACGTACGTGGCCACTATGAAGATTTTCTTATAGAATGGAATGCACTCTTTAATAATAAGTTGGAACCGTTCGGTCTGATTGAGCAATGTGCTTAAATCTTCCAGGGCTGATTCTTGTTGATGCGTCACGTACGTGGGCCATATGAGATTTTCTGCTTAAATCTCTGAAATGGAGGCAAAATGTCTTTTTTGGCCCCCCCCCCCTGTAATTCACCAGGCGCGTGACACTGCACCAGCGAGTAACAAAAAATTAATCGTCTCATCTGTAGAGGTGAATATGGACAGTCGCTGCCCGCAATAATACTTCATTTTATTGCCTATTTTGGAGAAATTCCGAAGATCGTAAACGATCTCGCTTCCGTTTTTGAACCCACTCCGGAGGTTCTTCCCCAACAAAATTGGAATTGCTAAGCTATCACTGGAGGCGCAGTGAACATGTCGCACCCGTGATGGAACTTGAGAACATTAGGCAAACCCATTATTAAACAGTTATGAGCGCTGCGATAGTATAGCGTAGCCTAGTTGGAGGACCTGGAAAGTTGAGAAGGAGGCAGGAGGGATTTGGAGAACGCTTGATTTAGGCCTTAAACTTCGTAGGGTCGCGTCAGGTAGTAGTCGAGGCGAGACAGAGAGTGATCGAAGAGACAAAAACGCAAGGAGATATGTCGTTTGAGAAGAGCACGCTAGATCTTACATCTTCGTGTTTATGGGTGGGAAGCGTCTGCAACGGTGGTCGATGATTGGCGGAGCCTAAGGATTAGCGCCCACGACGATTTTGATGCAACAAGTGGATGATCTAAGGGTATTTAGGGACCTAACAATTCTTGTGGATCCGCTGTCTAGTTGTGGGTTATATCGGGTTTGCCTTTGAGGAAAAGGGGGATGGTGAGTTGCATGTCAAATGTTGTAGGAGATTTTGCTGAAGAGGCATAACAGCGAGGGAATGGGCCAGCATCTGCCCTCCCCTCATTTCACAAAGCTGCAAATGTCGATGGCTCATACTCTCTTCCGATTGTACCATAAGCTCTTCACTCGAAATTATTTCAACGAATAACTCGTACGAAAGCTGGTAAAAATCTTCTGTCCCGACAATGCTCTGAAAGGAAAGGCCAAACATTTGTGAATTTCGGGCTCCAATCGACAAGATAAGGACCTGGAAGTTTTGAAAGATACACTTTTGGGCGCAGCCAAGCAGCTCTCGACAAGCATATGTATCAGCGAAGGCTCGAATTTCTAAGCAATTTGATGGATTCAGTTTCTTCTTTAGAAATTTGCAGCACGAAAACTAAAGTAAGGCATTTCAATCAACCATGGTATTTCCGAACCACAAGCTTTATGGTGTTCATCTTCCTGAGATTGCTCATGTGGAGCAGACAAGCCAGCTGGGCAAAATGCTTCCGTACATTCACGTGCTGATTCTCTGATCTTGGCAGGTAGCAAAATTCAAGCGACATTCGAGACACGCCGTGGCTTTCACATCGAATCTATGTCTAGTCGTCTACAAAAGATGGGAGTAAGCAGACTGCCTTTGAGAAGACAACAGATGGAAAGTTTGCAAAAAACACCTATTACATTTAAACGCTCTGTATCTGCGCCTAAGCTCGTCTTAAAGACAGCAACCACGGTGGCTGGAAAACGATGGGGTTCTGATGTCACTGGTGGATTACAAAGGAGGAAGGGCAAAAAAGAGGATGAAACTCCAGTTGGGAACGTGGGGGACTATGCTCTCCAATACTAAGGGTAAGGATAAGAGTTTTCATGGCACGTACTCGATTCATTTGATATACCAGAAGTATATTTGCCAGAAGTGACAGCTTAGTGTGGAAGTACTCCTGAAGTGCTTTCTTATTTCTGCCTGCTGTGGTCCAAGGAAATGGCTCAGAAGTAGGGTATGAACACCCTTGCCTAGAGAAGTATTAGGTACCGGATATCTTAGTGTCGCTTTTCTGAGTTCAGGAAGTTTTGGGGCCGATTACTATGGAAAATCAATATCTCAGAAAGTCTTTTTGCTCATTAATACTGCGAAATATGTTGCTTATTGTTTTCTATTGTTGGTTCACAATTTAACTTTCCCCCAATTTTTATACTTTTTTGAAAATTCCTGGGTCCAGTGTGCAAATTCGCATGTGTGTACCAAATGCTTCAAAATTCACGTTGGAGCGTTTACAGTAGGCCTCTTACAAGGGGGGTCTTTCAGGGCAAGCCGCGCTTTTTGGAAACGGTTTCTTGCATATTGTAGGGACGCATGTATGGACCACAAAACCATGTTTCGTTTTCGCTGAACGGTTTTAGTAGTACCAAAAAAGTGGTGAATGATACCCTTGATGGTTCGATCCCCCGCGGCGACTAAATTTTGCAATCAAGGTTGGCGGCCACTTGTTGGCTTCAAAATGGTCCTGACGATGAATATGACATCTGATTTTGACATTTAGCGCGATTTGGCACCAACCGTAGGCGCCAACCCAAATGCAAAATTTAGTCGCCACGGGGGATCGAACCATTAACAGTACAAAACCGTTCAGCGAAAACGAAACATGGATCGTGTCGATGCGTCACTACAATATGCAAGAAACCGTTTTGAAAAAGCGTGGCTTGCCCTGAAAGACCCCCTTGTTAGAGCTCGACGGTGCTGGCAGATGGTGTCACATTCTTAAGGCGGTAAAGGCAGTAAAGGAGGGCCCGCTTCAGCTTGGTGGGGGGGAGGCACCTAATAAAACTTGCTGTAAAATTCCATCCACGACGGCACCCTGTGCGACGAAAAGTTGGTGATGTGTGTCCTGGGCGAAAGACCCTTTCTTTGGCCCCCGTGTCACTAAATCACACCAGTGATTGGGGCTGCCCCTTAACGCCTACCTCTATGCTCAGTGATTCAAAACCGCACCGCTCACCAGCCATCGTGGTCACTGCCTTTAATTGCAGAAATGTTACACAGGGTGCACAAAATAGAAGACCATGAAACAGCATGTGATTCGATTTTTTTGATGTCGTCAGCAAATGTGCTACTGAGTCTGCAATTGCGACAGGCACAACAGCCGGAAACACACTATAAACATACGCAGGTGCCTTTCGGCCATGTCAATCGTGAACATTGCTCGGAAATAATTCGAAGACGCCGCGAGTACATTTCGATGAGCGTTTATACGTGTGCCCTGGAATGAAATCATTTATATGAGTTATGTCGTCGAAGTCCTCGTTCGAACTATACCTTGGCGTTCAGCGTCACATCACAAAGTTGAGATTCGTCACGAAGTTCTGCGAGTTTAGTGAGCAACTCACGACTGTGAAAACGACTCTAAAATTGTACATGGTTGTTCAATAAGAACGCTATGCTTCAAAAAGGTATAAATTTCGGCGGGTCGCGCGCTTTCTTCGGTGTGACTTTGGATTTTGCTTCTTCGAAGCAGAAACAGACCCTTTAAGCAAAAAAGTAGCCCAGAGTCACCTGATACCTACTCCTTCAGTTATGAATATGGCTTTCGCAATTCATTTTCAAAAAGAAAGAGATCAGGTATGAACGGAGACTAATACTGGCACTCAACAACACCAATTGTCACCATGTAACCATGTTTCGAACGCTATCGCCTTAAAGGAGGATGATATGCCCCAGCGAATTTACATAGCTTTCCCGTTGGCGCGGAACGCCCATCGACTATCTAATCACTACCGCGGCAAGAGATTAGAAAGCATACTGAAGAGGGCACAATGATGAGAGTCGTATCAATGCCGAAATCAAAGGGTAGGAAGGGGATTCATTTCTCGAGTTTTGGGCCCCCCGTTCACACCCATGCTTCTCCTCTTCATTCCGCTGACTCCACTAGCCCACGCTCTAAGCCCTTATTTCCAATGACTTCTCTTCATCGTAATAATCTTGCCAAAATCTTTTGATCTCTCTTCACACCGGGAGTTTTTGAGGAACAAGAAGGCGAAAATATTCATCATACAGGACCCCTGAGCCTCCCCTTCGCCACAAGGCAGGGCGAGATTTGCTGCGAAGGGTGTGCCCCACGCCTCAAAGCGGAAATCAGGAGACAAGAGGAACAAACGCCCCTTTTACGATTTTAAGCAGTTCCTCTTGTTTCTTCTGCACAACCCCACCTGTCAGCAGCTCTAACCCCCAATGGGCGACCAATTTAGGCGAGCGGGGCGGGCAGGGCGGCGGAGGAATCGAACGCCTCCAGGAGGCGGGGCGGGGGGGGGGGGGGGGGGGGGGGGGGGGGGGGGGGGGGGGGGGGGGGGGGGGGGGGGGGGGGGGGGGGGGGGGGGGAAGTCCATTCCACTCCCCCAAGCCCTCGTTACACGTTTGGGTTTTAAGGGCGGCAGTTGGGAACTGCCTCTTATCGCTTGCTGCAATAAGCTCAGTTCTTTCGAACAAAGCGACTTCCCATAGAGCTGGTGACTCAAACTATGCTAATCCGTTTGTAAAGAGCAAATATAGAACGTGGGTACCGTTCCCATCAAGAAAAATGGGCTACGGTAAAAAAGAATATAATATAATATATAAATAAACTATGAAATGGCTATAGAAAATGATCAGCCCTCAATGGGCTTTAATAAGGAGTGCATCAGACACCTCCGAGCTGCAGTGTGTCTATTTCAGTAACAAGTCTTTTATCCATCCAGGTGTAAAGCAACGACTAATGTCCTATGAGTGCTAGTAAGTAAACCATTTTTTACCTCGACTTGAAGGATACGTTTAGCGTCTGCCATCTCAGAGGTACATTTGAATCCTTCTTGTGAAACACGCGCACAAATCGTTCGCTGACCTCTAACAGTACTGAGGACACCTGAAATTATAGATATGATTAAACATTATACGAAACATGAAATGAATAGACAGGACAGTCCCAGTCACCTACAGCAGAAGGTGCTAACTTAGTTCGCGGAAAACAGCGGCGCAACGCTTTAACCGTCCTCCTCTCCGATGGTTAACCCCCGGCGCTAGTGTATTTCGAAATTGTCATGGTGTGCGAAATAGGAACAGTCCTAAAACTAAGCTTCAGAGTTGCAGATGAACAGAGCGTCACGCCGTCGCGTGCCCCCCCTCCAACTACTAAGTTAGCACCGAGCACAAATCACTTCAATCTTTATGAACCACTTTCACGGCTAGGGATGACGAGTCAAACGCGATTTCCCAATAAATCGAATGGAGGGCTTAGAAAGGTAAGGAAAATGAGAACTTCGCACCGGATGAGAACTCGAGAAATGCAGGAAAAAGTCGTTGTTTTTCTATGCGAAAGAGTCGATAACAACGGATTTCGTAAGGTCATGCGACTCGCAGGGCAGCAAGACCAAAGGATATTCGGGGCGTGTCAGGTCACGAGCCTACGGATTTTCTGAAGACAGTGGCTCGTCTGGATGGTCCAGGAATTCGTCCCTGACTGTGAGCATGGTAATTGTATGCAGCGCTGCTTGTCACTATACCACTTCCACTAACTGGGTAGAGATAGGAGGGAAAATGAGATTCTCAGGATTTTTGCCTCTCAGCAACAACACTCTTCACCGCTCCATGGCTTTTTGGTGATGAAGTCTATGTTGAAGGTAGGAACAAGCAGACACCATTACGAGTACCCAGGACTGTTTCAAAGGGGTAACCACAGGGGTTAGGTATTTTCTGGTCTTGCTGACCCCAAATATTAGGCGTTTTAGAAAGTTCTGTCGTTTTCCGACCCCGAATTTCCAAATGCATGTATCTCGGCTTGAACCAAACCTTTCCGGTTGAAATAAAAACCGTTTGAATGCGCTAACCTTCCGCTATAAGAAAACGTTTCAGTGGTACCTTTGTTCAGAATGCTGGAGCCTGGAGGCGGTGAACTGAGGGAAGGTCGTTTTAGCATCGGGTTGTGTTTTGAAGCATTTCTCTTCAAGGGAACTATCGAGGCCCCAAAAAAGTGACAGTTGATAGCCAGAGGTATACTGAGTAGATATCTGCAGCACCCCTTCTTAGCCTAGCTGGACCAACTTGTGCAGGGTTGGTTGTGCGACATGCGTGTAGGACAACTGTCAGAGATGTGTCCGTCCCTTTATAATGAGAAATGCTGAACCCGTATTTTGAAGTTTTTGGTGAATTTTGACATAATGTTAAGAGTTCTCCTCCACTGTAACAGTTCCACCTGATACGGGGAACTTGGCCAGCCGCTGACTTGATGAAAGTTGCCACAACCCTCCTTCAGCACAGTTTAAGTTTTGCAAAGTTTGTAGAGCTTGATCGCCGTCGAGCTATTCAGCAAAGCTTCGTGGGCTGTAGAAAAGAATCCCTCTTCATTGTACGTCGCAAATTAGTAGAAAGTCGCTTACATCACATAAAACAAGGTAGAAATTGAGGAACGACCTTCCGAATTGGTGCTTTGTCGCGGCACGCCCCTATCAAATTTTTTGGATTTTCCAACTTCTTCCAAATAACTTGGTTCCACAAACCATATACGTCCAGGTTGGGCAGAACCTCCTCAATGGTCCTACGCACGAGTGCCTCAATCAGAACTTTTGGCTAATCGGTGGCAACGTCCGATATCCGACCGACCACTACTCTTATCATACCCAAGGCTCTCGCTTTCGTTACAATAACTTTTTGAACTACTGCTTCTGAGCACATTTATTGCGAATCTAAGCCAAGTGCATCGTTAATATCTTGAACTGTTCCCGCTACTTTCAGGTCTATTTAAAGCTAGAAAAAGAAAGTCATGCCAACTTGCTCATCGAGTATACCACATTCAAAGCTTCTGAAAAAGTTATAAGAAAATGTTTTAGAACAAAGCTGAGCTAAGCATTGGATAGAGCAGGAAAAGCTCTTCAAAATGATATCATATCGATTGCAGTTTCTCTAGATTTCAAGTAAAATAAAGCATCCAAAAGTGGAGTGTCAGAAAACGACAGAACTTTTTGAAAACCTAATAAACCCAGCTCAGATTAATTCTGGTTTTGACATTACCACTCCGGCTCACTTCTGCTAGTAGAGCACCTAGCGGTTTTTTCACTTGCTCCACATATCTGCCTGAGATAGAGGTCCAAAAATGGAGCGCATGGTTCCATACATTTATAATGAATCGTAAAGATGAGCCAGAAAGCCTGTAATTGATTGTTCAGTTGAACCACAGGAAAATGAGACTCGAAAGTCGTCGTGATTCTTTTTTTGTTCCATGCCTTTCCAAGTGTAAGCGGAAGAGCTCAGGTCCAGGAAAAGCATTCCAGACAAAGCTCGAACTAGTTTTTCTCCCTGGTTTCAGTCACATGTTCATGTGTTTTATGTACCCTTCAAACTATTATATTACATTGGCAGTCCCTTCTTCCATTCCAATAAACATAAATGCATTTGAATGAACTGAACT